CTATGGTGGTATTAAGAGTCGCTTTCTAACCAGGATATTGGCTATCTTCATAATCCCAAAATTGATTACAAATCCTGCATGTAGATTTCCGGAGAAGCCAATTAATGCTGCAGTGCATCTGTAGCGGTGTGCGCCCCACACCTATCGTTTGGGACGATGTAAGTAGAGGACGCCATGTACTGTATGACATTCAATCCTCCGAGAGACATAACTTCAGATATGTCATATGCACACATGCGATGCTTTGTCTGCCAAGGGGGAACAATCCCTCCTATACTGCCTCTTGTCGTTAGGATCAGTTCTATTTGTGCAGCCCCTAGCCGTTAGGACCAGTTCTATCTATACTGCCTCTAGTCGTTAGGACAACTTCTATCTATACAACCCCTAGACGTTAGGACCAGTTCTATCTATATTGCCTCTAGACATTAGGACCAGTTCTGTCTATACTGCCCCTAGACGCTAGGACCAGTTCTGTCTATACTGCCCCTAGACATTAGGACCAGTTCTATCTATACTGCCCCTAGATGTTAGGACCAGTTCTATCTATACTGCCCCTAGACGTTAGGACCAGTTCTATCTATATTGCCTCTAGACATTAGGACCAGTTCTGTCTATACTGCCCCTAGACGCTAGGACCAGTTCTGTCTATACTGCCCCTAGACATTAGGACCAGTTCTATCTATACTGCCCCTAGACGTTAGGACCAGTTCTATCTATATTGCCTCTAGACATTAGGACCAGTTCTATCTATACAGCCCCTAGACATTAGGACCAGTTCTGTCTATACTGCCCCTAGACGCTAGGACCAGTTCTGTCTATACAGCCCCTAGACATTAGGACAAGTTCTATATATACTGCCTCTAGACATTAGGACCAGTTCTGTCTATACAACCTCTAGACATTAGGACCAGTTCTATCTATACAGCCCCTAGACATTAGGAACAGTTCTATCTATACTGCCCCTAGACATTAGGACCAGTTCTATCTATACAGCCCCTAGACATTAGGACCACTTCTGTCTATACTGCCCCTAGACATTAGGACCAGTTCTATCTATACAGCCCCTAGACATTAGGACCAGTTCTATCTATACTGCCTCTAGACATTAGGACCACTTCTGTCTATACTGCCCCTAGACGTTAGGACCAGTTCTATCTATACAGCCCCTAGTCGTTAGGAACAGTTCTATCTATACAACCCCTAGATGTTAGGACCAGTTCTGTCTATACAGCCCCTAGACGTTAGGACCAGTTATTTTTAATGTTTTGAATTTTAACTAATTTATTAATTCATTTATAGTCTAATAGTCTGTGCGACCAGTTCTATAAGTTCACAAGAATTACGTTTTAAAGTGTTTAAAACAACAGAGAATATTTATTGGAAATCTTTGGAAGTCATGTCAATATTTGAGTTATACGTCCGTATAACATTGGTGGGCGAACACTTTATTAAAGGAACAGTGTCAAACACAAAGAACATTTTCTTCAGAAGACGACTTCCAATTGTAAGCGGGTACTGTCCAGTCTATCACCGATACCATTTCCTTTAGAAGTTAAAGTTTGGTTGTCGCTGGATTCTGTCCAGTTACCCATAAATACCATTACCTTCAAAAGTCAGAGTGTTGATGTCGGCGGATTGTGTTCAGTCTAAAAAGGTATCATTTCCTTGAGAAGCCGACGTCTGGATGTCGGCGGATTCTGTCCGGTCTACACAAATATTATTTCCTTGAGAAGTCGACATCTGGATGTCGGCGGATTCTGTCCGGTCTACACAAATATCATTTCCTTGAGAAGTCGACATCTGGATGTCGGCGGATTCTGTCCAGTCTACACAAATATTATTTCCTTGAGAAGTCGACATCTGGATGTCGGCGGATTCTGTCCGGTCTACACAGATATCATTTCCTTGAGAAGCCGACGTCTGGATGTCGGCGGATTCTGTGCGGTCTACGCAAATATCACTGCCCTGAGAAGCCGACGTCTGGATGTCGGCGGATTCTGTCCGGTCTTCACAGATATCATTTCCTTGTGAAGTCGACATCAGGATGTCGGCGGATTCTGTCCGGTCTACACAGATATCATTTCCTTGTGAAGTCGACGTCTGGATGTCGGCGGATTCTGTCCAGTCTACACAAATATTATTTCCTTGAGAAGCCGACGTCTGGCTGTCGGCGGATTCTGTCCAGTCTAAAAAAGGTATCACTGCCTTGAGAAGCCGACGTCTGGCTGTCGGCGGATTCTGTCCAGTCTAAAAAAGGTATCACTGCCTTCAGAAGTCGACGTCTGGATGTCGGCGGATTCTGTCCGGTCTACACAGATATTATTTCCTTGTGAAATCGATGTCTGGATGTCGGCGGATTCTGTCCAGTCTACACAAATATTATTTCCTTGAGAAGCTGACGTCTGGCTGTCCGCGGATTCTGTCCAGTCTAAAAAAAGGTATCACTGCCTTGAGAAGCCGACGTCTAGATGTCGGCGGATTCTGTCCGGTCTACGCAAATATCACTGCCTTGAGAAGCCGATGTCTGGATGTCGGCGGATTCTGTTCAGTCTACACAAATATCATTTCCTTGTGAAGTCGACGTCTGGCTGTCGGCGGATTCTGTCCGGTCTACACAGATATTATTTCCTTGAGAAGTCGACGTCTGGATGTCGGCGGATTCTGTCCGGTCTACGCAAATATCACTGCCTTGAGAAGCCGACGTCTGGATGTCGGCGGATTCTGTCCGGTCTACACAGCTTTCATTTCCTTGAGAAGTCGACGTCTGACTGTCGGCGGATTCTGTCCGGTCTACGCAAATATCACTGCCTTGAGAAGCCGATGTCTGGATGTCGGCGGATTCTGTTCAGTCTACACAAATATCATTTCCTTGTGAAGTCGACGTCTGGCTGTCGGCGGATTCTGTCCGGTCTACACAGATATTATTTCCTTGAGAAGTCGACGTCTGGATGTCGGCGGATTCTGTCCGGTCTACGCAAATATCACTGCCTTGAGAAGCCGACGTCTGGATGTCGGCGGATTCTGTCCGGTCTACACAGCTTTCATTTCCTTGAGAAGTCGACGTCTGACTGTCGGCGCATTCTTTCCGGTCTACACAGAAGCCGTCGGATTCCGTGTAGTCTACCGATACTCTTTCCCGCGTTCCTATGACCTTGGTAGTTGCAAGGATTTAAAACACGTCTCACTAATGATGAATGAATCCAGAAAATCATCTATATGATTTACCTGCCAACATATTGGTAATAAAATGGTTAAGATTTATTGTAGACCCTTCGGTGTGCGCGGGTTAAACATATTCGTGTAAGACTCCCACTGGCAGTAGATCGAAAGAGAACTTATATTATGCATACTTAAGTCTACTGCCGAAGGCCCCCGGTAGGGCACCCACTCGTTCAGAGTGGTAACTATCAGAACTATCTGATATCTCGGCCAGAACTGTTTTATCTCTCGGTCAGAACTGTTTTATGTTTCGGCCAGACCTATTTTATGTCTCTGTCAGACATATTTTATGTCTCGGTGTCAGAACTATTTTATGTTTCGGTTAGGACTATCTCATGTCTCGGCCAGACCTATTTCATGTCTCGGCCAGAATTCTTGTATGTCTCGGTCAGAACTATCTTATGTCTCGGTCAGAACTATCTTATGTCTCGGTCAGAACTATTTTATGTCTCGGCCAGAATTCTTGTATGTTTCGGTCAGAACTATCCTATGTCTCGGACAGAATTCTTGTATGTCTCGGTCAGACCTATTTTATGTCTCGGTCAGACCTATTAGGTCTGGGTCAGAACTATTTAATGTCTGGGTCAGAACTATCCTATGTCTCGGCCAGAATTCTTGTATGTCTCGGTCAGAACTATCCTATGTCTCGGCCAGAATTCTTGTATGTCTCGGTCAGACCTATTTTATGTCTCGGTCAGACCTATTTTATGTCTGGGTCAGAACTATTTAATGTCTCGGTCAGAACTATCTCATGTCTCGGCCAGAATTCTTGTATGTCTCGGTCAGAACTATTATATGTCTCGGCCAGAATTCTTGTATGTCTCGGTCAGAACTATCTTATGTCTCGGTCAGAACTATTTTATGTCTCGGCCAGAATTCTTGTATGTCTCGGTCAGAACTATTTTATGTCTCGGTTAGAACTATCTAATGTCTCGACCAGAACTATCTTATGTCTCGACCAGAACTATCTTATGTCTCGGCCAGAACTATTTTATGTCTCGGCCAGAACTATCTAACGTCTGGGTCAGAACTATTTTATGTCTCGACCAGAACTATCTTATGTCTCGACCAGAACTATCTAATGTCTGGGTCAGAACTATCTTATGTCTCGACCAGAACTATCTTATGTCTCGACCAGAACTATCTTATGTCTCGGCCAGAACTATCGTATGTCTCGGCCAGGCTTCAAAACCAAAGGCCTACCTCATAAAAACGAACGCTGTTCTATAAACCGAACGTGTTGAGAAAGACATAAGGAAAATAATTGTTATTTTAGAAAGAAGAGAAAAGTAATTCGCCTGACGTCCTACCTGCAGAGCAGACTTGTAATGAATAAATCTCTTGTTTGCTGTCGGGAAATCGGAACTATACTGTGTCGATCTGACGTTTATCGCAAATACATCTAACACAACATATGCAGATTCTTATCGTCTGTATTCATAGTAAAACATATCATCTACTTGTAACAGACTGTTGTCGTAAATGACATTAAAGTTCTACGGACTTGAGAATAAAATTATCGATTCTTAAATTTTCCGTCATTTTTATATCAATTTACTAGTAATGCTCGTCCATCATACTCAATAAAAAACTGATTTAAAATCATTAAGCACGGAGTCTCAAGAATTTATGTTTTTTTATGAATTTTAATAGTATCTATTCACTCGATGTTTATTGAACAAGCATTTATCTTGGTTCTTGTTTTGGTGTTTCTGAGAAAGTGCCTTGTAAGATTTATGTTGCCGTTTGGGTCTATAAAACATTGTATTTTCTTTTTGCAGGGCGTGACGTTTTTCTCGTACAGTTGGCGTCTGGGTGCTTTCTTATGTAGAGCATACGTTTATGTCCAAAATGTGTCCATGATTTGTTCCGTGATGACTCTCACAGTCATGAGTGTAGAACGGTAAGTGGTGTTTGTTTACTGTTACTAACAAAGAGCGTGGTAAGGACCATACACTGGTCTGTGTAGCGTTGTTATGTATAACACAGTAAGCGTCCTTACGATGTTCAGTGTACCGTCATTATATATAACACAGTAAGCGTCCTTTCGATGTTCTGTGTAGCGTCGTTATATATAACACAGTTAGCGTCCTTACGATGTTCAGTGTAGCGTCGTTATATATAACACAGTAAGCCTCCTTTCGATGTTCAGTGTAGCGTCGTTATATATTACACGACGAGCGTCCTTCCGATGTTCTGTGTAGCGTCGTTATATATAACACAGTTAGCGTCCTTACGATGTTCTGTGTAGCGTCGTTATATATTACACAATAGGCGTCCTTACGATGTTGTGTGTAGCGTTGTTATATATAACACAGTTAGCGTCCTTACGATGTTCTGTGTAGCGTCGTTATATATAACACAAACACAGTAAGCGTCCTTACGATGTTCTGTGTAGCGTCGTTATGTATAACACAGAAAGCGTCCTTACGATGTTCTGTGTAGCGTCGTTATATATATTACAGAAAGCGTCCTTTCGATGTTCATTGTAGCGTCGTTATATATAACACACTAAGCGTCCTTACGATGTTCTGTGTAGCGTCGTTATATATATTACAGAAAGCGTCCTTTCGATGTTCATTGTAGCGTCGTTATATATAACACACTAAGCGTCCTTACGATGTTCCGTGTAGCGTCGTTATATATTACACGATAAGTGTCCTTACATTGTTGAGCGGACTAGCACCGACGTACGTGGTTAACGAGACAAGCATTATATTACATTATTGTTTCAATCTTGTGTTATTTTTGGTCTATTACCTGTTTACCATCTCCTCAAACTATCTTCTACCTTAGTGTACATAGAACTATATATAGTACAACCGAAAAAAATAGGTCGATCCTTTCCATCTCATCCCGATTCGGTGTCAAGCTCAATAATATTCACAACACGAGACAGAAACCATTAAAGCGTAATCTATTAGGCTTTCTCTGGCGAATAATATACAGAAGCTTCAGATCTAATACATAGGTCTGAAAATGATTTCATGTAACTAAATACAACACATACAACACAGTTATCATGTAATGTAACTAAATATAATACACACAACACAGTTATGATGTAATGTAACTAAATACAACACACACAACACAGTTATGATGTAATGTAACTAAATATAACACATACAACACAATTTAAATGTAATGTAACTAAATACAACACATACAACACAGTTATGATGTAATGTAACTAAATATAACACATACAACACAGTTATGATGTAATGTAACTAAATACAACACATACAACACAGTTAAGATGTAATGTAACTAAATATAACACATACAACACAGTTAAGATGTAATGTAACTAAATATAACACATACAACACAGTTAAGATGTAATGTAACTAAATACAACACATACAACACAGTTAAGATGTAATGTAACTCAATACAACACATACAACACAGTTAAGATGTAATGTAACTAAATACAACACATACAACACAGTTATGATGTAATGTAACTAAATATAACACATACAACACAGTTAAGATGTAATGTAACTAAATATAACACATACAACACAGTTAAGATGTAATGTAACTAAATACAACACATACAACACAGTTAAGATGTAATGTAACTAAATACAACACATACAACACAGTTAAGATGTAATGTAACTAAATACAACACATACAACACAGTTAAGATGTAATGTAACTAAATATAACACATACAACACAGTTAAGATGTAATGTAACTAAATACAACACATACAACACAGTTAAGATGTAATGTAACTAAATATAACACATACAACACAGTTAAGATGTAATGTAACTAAATACAACACATACAACACAGTTAAGATGTAATGTAACTAAATACAACACATACAACACAGTTAAGATGTAATGTAACTAAATACAACACATACAACACAGTTAAGATGTAATGTAACTAAATACAACACATACAACACAGTTAAGATGTAATGTAACTAAATACAACACATACAACACAGTTAAGATGTAATGTAACTAAATATAACACATACAACACAGTTAAGATGAAATGTAACTAAATACAACACATACAACACAGTTATGATGTAATGTAACTAAATATAACACATACAACACAGTTAAGATGTAATGTAACTAAATATAACACATACACCACTGTTATGATGTAATGTAACTAAATACAACACATACAACACAGTTATGATGTAATGTAACTAAATACAACACATACAACACAGTTAAGATGTAATGTAACTAAATACAACACATACAACACAGTTAAGATGTAATTTAACTAAATATAACACATACAACACAGTTAAGATGTAATGTAACTAAATACAACACATACAACACAGTTAAGATGTAATGTAACTAAATACAACACATACAACACAGTTAAGATGTAATGTAACTAAATATAACACATACAACACAATTATGATTGAATTGAGATTGGTGAAGATGAATACAATTCAGTAAGTTTTTTTTTTTTAATTTTGTGTAGCGAAATTTCCCAATAAATACCCGAGTTATCTTTCCTCGCGTGAACCAGAATGCACACGGGAGAAATTGACACATTTCACTGCAAATACTGTGATCTGATTGGTTTAAAATGAGTGGAAATTACTAGGAAAAGTCTGTATTGTATGCGAAAATGGGATTTCGTTGCTAGACACTGAACTGTCTATGATACCCTAGAGCTGAGGGTTAGCTTTCCTTGTTAGAGAGAGAACGGCACCATCAGACAGTCTGGAGGGTTTGAGGTATCCGTGGGGACGACCATGTTGGCTGCTACCTGATTCGTTTCTGAGCACTTGATTAGCTATCTAATCACGGCGATACACTGACCGTCCAATCACCTGGCTAATTACTAACCGATCTGACGCCAACAGCGTAAACACGTAAACATACAACACTGGTACGTGCAAAACATGAGAATTATTTGGCCCGCTTGAAATCAACAACGATTGTCCGTGACGTATATTCAGATCCATTTACGTAAACAAGAACGCGGTGCAGTCAGTTTGAAAAACAATACAATGGTAGTTATACCACAGTATAATTGATAGGTAGTACATCGATGACGCGCAAAAGGGAATAAGGGGGAGGGGAAAGAGAGTTGGGGGGAGGGGCTTAACCTTATCCATTTAGAGCAGTTAGGTTAAAGTGTCTTGCCCAAGGACAGAGTTACAACAGCTTCGGAGCTTTCTGAGAATCACAAGGGCGATATCTCCATCTCTATCCACCATATGAATCAAGGTAAAACGAAAAAATGTCACGTTCTCAAACTAACATTTGAGGAGTTTCTTCATTAATTTCCTTCTGCGGACCCCCGTCGAAAGATATTTGTAAGTCGGAATGTTTTCAATTACTGAAGACATATGATTAAGATAAAGTAAGTTTGCAAAAGTGAAAACTTTTTACAAAGCTGTATGATAAGCGTGAAAATTTAAATTTCCTTATTGTGAATTTTCCATTTCTGGATAGCGGCAATCATTCATCCCCCAACCAATGGTGTTTACGTGTCGCAGATGATTCAATACTCGATATCGACTTGAAGGAAGTAAATAGCTTCCTGCAGTATAATGTACCGTGACAAAATTGATATATTGACTGCTAATACTGTGATCTAGTTGATAAGAATTTGTAAAAAAAAAAAAAATGAAAAGTTATCATTTTCACTCACTGAAAATATTACTTGCACTGTTACTGTGAATCCGTATATTTCATGGTATTATCATCTTGAAACAAAAGTCAGTGAAACTACTGTGAAACATTTCAACCCAGTTACCGTTTTCAACTGAAATCTCTTCTCGAGTTGTGTCGACAAACGGTTGTTTGACAGAATTATACGTTATTTTTAATAAGATGAAACGAGACTCTCACACCAGCATGAATGTTTTAATTCAAATGAATTAAGATTCATTCGTTAGAAACTCGCCGATTCCTCTTAAATCTGGTCTTTTTGTGTTTGAAGCTGCTCTCTCTAGTAATTAACTCTTTATTCGCTGCATGTTTAAGAGGCTTCGTCGTGTCATTTTTCATCCGGATATTTAATTATGAAAATAATAAAATAAAATCATAGCTTTATTAAATCATGGCCTCCTCTCTGTAGATAATACAGTAACTCGATACCAACTTTAAAGGTGTCACATTTTAAACATTCTTTATCACAATCATTTTAAAGTAATTTTAATTCAATTGACCGTTGCATCAGGGGATTCCAATTTCAAGCTAGAACTGGTTCAATATCGACTCCGTATTAATTGAGGATGATAACTTATGTTGCTAATATATTAAGGTTTCACGAGCACGCTAACTGTTAAATTTTATACCGGGATGAAGCCATTTTTTATTCATAATTGTATATTTCAGCATTACGAATTTATCTTAATAAATTAATTTCTTATTTGTTCAATACATGAACAGTAAAGTACACTCTTTTTCCCCTGTACATTTGAGTCGATCTGGTACAAAATATCTAGCCACCCCCTGATGAGCACGTTACGGTTCAAGCGCGTTCGAGACGAGCCGTTAATATAGATTTCTGACCCTCTTTAAATCCGGTGTGAAATAACGATATTCTGCATTCATGCTTAGTGGCGGAGACAAAATTCAACCACAGGCAAACAAATCTATAAAAAAATATCTAATCGAAGACATGACGCGAAAATGGTCTGCTCCACAAAGTTACTTTTTTCGTGGACATGAGCCCACAACCTGCAGTCATCATTTTGAAACCAGATATTGGAGTTATTGGGGTAAACTGCCCTTCCACTCTGCCGTGTTTAGACGAAACATGTCAGCGCTCGGTCATTATTTAACAAACATTGGTACCGTTCCTTTCAGGAGAGTCATTAGTACGATAAAGTCGGACGTGCACAACTGTAAGGTCAAACAGTGCTAGTTGAAAATGGCCAG